AGTGGTGGTACTCCAATAATTCCAGGGCAACAACTTAAACTGGAATTTCTCAATAAACTAGAGTTTGGTCAACTACAATGTCCTGTGTAAGTGCTCTAACTGCAGTCGTTTTAGTTGGAGCATGGGATGTGGATGGAAAGTGTAGGATGTGACTCAGCAAAGCAGAGGTGAGTGATATTCAATGTCAGGTGAAGGAGTTAGACTTTACTTGAAGGCAAAGGAATTGATGTACATGAAACAACATTTGGAAAGATTACTCTGGCCTCTGTGGCCAGGTTGAATTGAAAGGAGATACTCAATTTAGAGACTATCATAGTGTTCCATTAAATTCTTTATTTATATGGTAACCATTGGTCCTAATGTGCAAGGAATCTTTACTTTTTAAAAAGATGATGCACAGAGAAGCTTATTACATCATTTCCAATATGCATTATTATTAATATTGGTTTATAATTCTGACAAAGATCTTGTTGAATTCATGCCTTACTGAATGCTGGTTTTATGAAAGAGAATAGCACTAGGATTTAGCAGTGTATATCAGAGTATCTTGTGTTTACTAGTGTAATAGCATGGATGTATGTTAATATTGTAACAAAATCTGACCTAACATTGAAAGAGTGTTAAAGCTGGGTGTGGTGTTGCACACCTGTAAACCTAGCACTCTGAAGACAGAGGCAGAAGGATCACTGTGAGTTTGAGGCCAACCTAGGTTACGTAAGAGAGTTTAAGGGCAGCTTGCATTACATAGTGAGACTGTCTCAAAAAAAAGGATGGTTCAAAAAACACAAAAACAAACTTAAAGGTGGATGTGGTGGTGCCCACCTGTAATTCCAGCTCTCTACAAGTCTTAGATAGAAGAATTCTAAGTTCAACCCTAGGCCAAGCAGTTTAGTGACTTATAGTGACTCTTTCAAAAACTAAAAAAAAAGTTGGAGGTATACCTAAGAAAGAATACCCTGGGTTCAATCCCTAGTAGTGCAAAAAGGGGGGGGGGACCAAAAGAAAAACCCCACCTAAAATAGCTTGCCTTGTTGGTTATCAACTTTTCATTGTGTATACCTTATCTCAACTTGATTTTATACTTAATACAGGGTCTACAGGGTCTCACTGCATAGATCTGAATTGTCATGATTCTCTTGTTTTCAACCTCCACGTACTGGGATTACAGGCACGAGCCTCCAAGCCCATTCTAAAATCACCCTCTCAGCGTGCCCCTGGGGGTGAGGCTGGTGGCACACAGGGGATCCAACCCCAGCCGTTGTGCTCTGCCTGAGCAGGCGCTTTAGTTTGCTGAGCTATCTTGCTGGCCCTTAACTTGATGTTTAATCTACAGAGAATTTTCCTGTTTCAGTAATTCTCATTGTCCTACCCTGCATTTTTCCTTTTTTGTCCTTGTTCTATGGAATAGGTTGGTCTATTGAGAACAAAAGTCATTTTCTGTCAGGAAAACCAAAGCTACACGGAAGCAGTAATCAATCTTTGATGGCCTGACTATGTAGTAGTAGAGAGGCGTGCACTCTAGAGTAGAAAAAGGCAGTGCTTGTGCAGAGAAAAGCAGCTACCCGCTGATGGCTTCTAAGTGCTACAGAAATGCAGCTTGTACACTGGCATCCTGCCTGCACCAGTTAAGCAGCCTTGGAGGATTCAGGGAAGTTTAAGGAAAGCAAACTGTTATGGGACTTCAGTTTCTAAAACCCCTCTGTATAGTGGGAGAAGGCCATCTTTACTTGATAACAAAGTAACTACTATTTAAAGCTAGTTTCACTGCTGTGCCTTGCCTTTTATAAAAAAAAATCACTAGACGTCAGACTAAAATGTTAGAGGAAATATCTAATAAATCGTGAAAGGAGATTTCAGATATATCTCTTCATTTCCATATAGGCAAAAAATTGAAATAGTGAAGAAAATGAAGTTTTAAAATTCTATGTTTGTGTCTGTGTGTATATGTAGTCTATCATATTGATAATATTTTACCAATAAAGGTTATATTTTTCATATCAATTAAAGTTCTCCATATAAATTTTTGCTGTTTATTTTTTGAAAAATTTAAGTTTCCATCAAGTCTAAAATTAAAAAAAAAAAAAAATTTCCATCTTTCCTTCCTGATCTGGAGCTACTTGTCTTTTACTTTAAGCACTACAGCATCTGACACATAAAGATGTTTCCCCAGGGGAGTCTTATTTCTGCCAAGGGCTGACATGAAAAGAAACAATTTGTCAGACCAGTGGAGCTTGCTAACAATTCAAATAAACAACCTGCATATTAATAGAAATGTTAATGATAATAGGAAAAGGCCCCCTCTCTTCTCTGCAGGAAGGAGAGATTAGTGGGCCAGAGACAGTTTTCTAGCTTTGGGCCTTCTTAACAAAACAACTGTTAGCTGAATGCCAGTCTTAGTTCATATTTATTAGTATAGTCCAGTGGTTAAGTAATGCTTTATTTAATAGCCAAATTGATCACTGCCTCTTTTTTTTTTTTTTTTTGCCATTACCTAGCATGTAAATATTTTTGCCATGTAAATATTTCCAAGTAAAAAGCAGTTAAGTTTAGAATCTAAACATATTTTAATAGCTGATTGTGAACTCTTCAAAAACAGGCTTCATTAGAGAATGCAGCCAAAGACGATTATCATCTGTAATCTAGCATTTATCCCATTTTGCTCACCTCTTGGTCATCACTACTACACATAGTTTGAGAGCTCCTTGATATAGAGCATAGTATGCCCTAGTACTTGTACTTTCAGTGCCTAAAATACAATCTGTATATAGTTAATGACTAACTTCATTGCTTTATGATATTTTTCTATTTTCCTATGTTTTTTCCCCCAACATGCAACTATAAAATATTGCTGTACCAACATAGATTCTGCATTTATCTAGATTTGGTCAAACTAGTGAAGGAAAAATCTGTTAGTGAAATGTTGAGATTGTAGAGGAGAAAGATTTCTTTCCTCACCCATCTCTAGGTTCATGGTTGACATCCCTAATGCAGATAAACAAGAAAAAAGAACACAAAGTTATTTAATGTAGTATAAGTATTATATGATGGTATCCTTCAAAAATGATGGCTTAAAAAGGGGAGAAAAACTATGCTTTTATGTTTGGTTTAGTGAAGATTAGACAGTCATGCAGAAATAATTATGATTGGATAAAAAAGCATAATGTAAATTGAAGGGAATTTGGCAAGGCCTATTTGGGTTTTTGTTGTTGGCTATTGTTGGTGTGTGTGTGTGTGTGTGTGTGTGTGTGTGTTTATCTTTAGAGATAGGAGTATTTTTTTCTTCCAGTTCTCAGAAGGGTGTATCTCTCATGAGGGGCTTGCGTGCCAAGGAATTGGTGTTATAGCTGACTTCAAGGGAGAACAGTAGTCAAAGATACTTTTCTACTCCTGCTTTGGCATATACTAATGTACCATACTGTGAGGTTGCATATCCTCACCCCCATCAATATTAAGTAATAACTAGTAATAGAAATTTAATCTTTTGTTAATTTTGAGGGATTGAAAATATAAGTAAGTTACCTGGAGATTTGCAGTCATTTAATTTTAAGAGTATGGTTATCACTTGCTAGCAGACATATTTATAACTTACTGAGTATATCAATTCTGTTGACTTGAATATAAGATTTGGTGTTAGACTTTTTCTAAAATGAATTGTATAGAAATGCTTCTTAAAATTAAGTAGGATTGTTTACATATTAATAAACATGTCTATATATTATTTAGATTTAATTTTTGTTGAATTATAAAATTTTGAGTTGTCACTATCATGAATGATAAAGTATCACTTCGGGAGGCCTAAGGAAAATTTCTCAGTACTCTTGATTGGAGCCTGATATTAGTTGTGTCAAGATAAAAAGCAGTGACCCAGTGAATGACTTTCTATACACAAACTGTTTAAAACAAATCTAGGCAGTAAATACAAAGTATATTAAAATGAAACAAGAAAAATATTACTTTTAAGAATATAATATACTAGGGGCTGGTGAGATGGCTCAGTGGTCTAAAGCACCTACTTGGAACAAGCTTGGCAAAGCACAGGGACCGTGGTTCAATCCCCCAGCACCACATGCCAGCCAGCCCCACCCCCTGGTGGGCTGAGCTGGCTACACACACACACATAAAAGAATGTAATATACTAGTTTAGTTTAAAATTTTATCTCTTTTGTAGATAGCAGGCTAAGATTATCTTTGGTAAACTTCAGTTTTGGATTTTCAGGCACATTAAAGTGAAAGCATAACATTTTAAAATAATCTCTCACTTAATACTATTATCATTAATCTCTTAAATAGTCTCACTTAATATATTGTTATCAACACTAGCAAGTGAGGGCCAGAGAGATGGCTTAGTAGGATAAGTGCTTGACTGGCAAACTCAAGGATCTGAGTTCAATCCCCGGTTCCGCAAAAAAAAAAAAAAAAAAAAACCACTAGCAAGTGAAAGTAATGCAAGAAGACATTTGCCTTTATCATTGGCAAGTCTTCCAATTCTTTTGCAGTTATTTGTACTGTTTTAGGGACATACTAGGCTCGAATTAGCAAATTTTTTTTTTTTTTTTTTTTTTTTTGAACCGGGGATTGAACTCAGACCTTTGCACCTGCTAGGGAAGCGCTTATTCCACTGAGCCATCTCCCTGGCCCCTAATTAGCAAATTTAGTTTTGGTTTTATATAAGTACTTTCTAAGCCGATATCTGGCAATTTTTTTAGTGCATAGAAATAGAGTTGTTAAAAGTATTAAAATGAGTAAATTCTCAGTTTTTAAAATTGTTTAGAGACAATTTCTTTTGTGTTTGGAAGTGTAGGAACTCTCATTTGACTAATTTGAGGATAAAAGTTGGTATTTCTTCTTTGTCGAGTTAGTGAAGGGTTAAAATAATTATTAATGATTAAAATCAGTTGATATTCTAAATAACAAATGAACCAACTTTATTCATTAAGTTTTTAGACTTTTATTTGCTTTTTGTGGAAACATTTATTAATTTCACATTTTAAAATTTTCAGGTAACTTGGGTTTTTACTCCTGTAACAACTGAAATAACAAGTCTTGATACAGAAAATATAGATGAAATTTTAAGTAAGTACCTCAATTTTTTAAAGTATACCTTCTTCTCTATAGTGTTTTATATTAAAAAAAATAACTTTACAGTAAAATCTCATTTACCTAGTATAGTAAAGAGCTGGCATTCTGATTTATTTCATAGCTTCCTGAATTAAAAAGTTTTCAGTTTTGTTTTTAGTAAAATTTCTTTTCCTCCTACTGCTCCTCTTCCTCTTCCTCCTCTTCCTCCTCCTCCTCCTCCTCCTCTTCCTCCTCCTCTTCCTCTTCCTCTTCCTCCT